TGAACCGATCTAAAGCAACAGAGAGCCATTTTGTTTATACGTGTCGGAAATGGCGAACTCGAAATGGCAGAGGGCCAAGACAGAGCTTTTTGCCTAGAGCTGCTACTGAAAAATCACTGAATTGCTGACTTTTACTAATAATAGTAAAGGAATGTTTGAGTTTCATTACTTGGGCAATTAGGGTCAGAAACTCCGTGCGAAATATGGTCCCATGAAAACAGAAAGTTGTCTGGTGTGAATAATTCAGGTAAAAATATCTCTTCGTTGGAAGATCAAGAGTTTAGACCCTGCCTAAATCAGTTTCCATTCGTTATTCTGACCACGTCTGTCCTTCCAATTCGTTAAGGTATCTCAGTCAAGAAAACGTCTGATTCGCAGAAAGAGAAATAAAGTGGAGAAATCATGGGTTCTGATATGACAACTCATTTATATACATGAAAAAAAATAAATGAAATTTTCTAACGGATGGAACGTCAGTCTGCCATATACTTCAATGCTTGAGGATTATTGTCGGTAAAATTTTTTATATGAATTACGGGGCAGTGTTAATGTCCTTTGCTGGATCGTCCACCAGAAGTTCCTTGTTTTCTTTCTAGGCTATATTCATGGTTGGATAATAGCTATGGCACGCAAGGCCATGTTTTCTACCAACAGAGTCATACATTTTTTATCTACCATAATCCTTTTGAGGGTTTTGTGAGTTTGAATCCATATCAACGGCAGACGAACATATGTACCAATTTCATGACTTCACTTTTCATATCCGCTATCAGTGGAAAACTCTTTGATATTACAATACGATGCCGTTATCAGACCTGAATTTCCATACTTTCAATTTTGTTTTATGATTCCGTTGTGGTTGCTGCAAGATTTTATTTATTCAGCGCACAGTCATTTAATGGGAAGACGGAGTTTATATAATAGTCTGGTGGCTATACGTATTAATTACTTGGTTTTATGCCTCTTATTATTGATTAATCAACAACTGATCGTTGCCACAACGATCAATTTCAAAGTAAACATTTTCGTCTGGCGATTTCAGTGTGACGATTACAAAAGTTCATAGAAAATTATGTATCGACGTACAGTGTGACGAAGCAAAGCAAAAGAGCAGTGAGGTATATGTCTGCAAGTGCAGAGATTGTAATTCTTCACTAAATTACTGTATGCCAACTTATGGTCGTGACACAACAATCACGACGAAATTAAGAAACAAAAAAATTCTTAAATCAAAATTCGTCATTAGCATCGTATTATACTCACAGTGGTCACTACACTGACAGAGGGTGAAGTCAAATAATCTATATAAATGACCACCTGCCTCTGATGCAGTTTAAAACTGTTTACCGTAGGACTACACACTGACTGTGTCACCTCGTGCAGGCACTACAACGAAATTGTAAACGCAGATTCACAATGATGAAACGGCATCGCATTTTACTGGCAGAGTGATTCCCATTCATAAAATATATGATAAGCTGAATAAGATATTTGATGCAGACGACAACGACCAAGTTAGATAAATCAAAAGCTGTGACGACAGAACCGAGTGATGACAGAAATTGCAGGCTACGCCTATACAGCGTGTGTCGAAACGCCCATTCCGGAAACATGGGAAAACAACGCCCACTGGAGCCAGAAAGCGCCTGTATGAAAATGTATTGAAAATAGAAATCTTAGCAATTGTTAACTGGGATATTTCTCTCACACTTCAACTCGAGAATATTAAGGGTTTCACGTTAGGCAGATTGCTAATCAGCCATTAGTTTGGTATAGGTTCAAAATTCTTTGCCCTGACAGAGCTCACTGGCTTAAATCAGATTGAATCAACTGATAGCAGTCGGTTAAAAACCTGCACAAACTGTATATCGCAAATGTAGAAAAACTTATTACAGTTTCCAACCCATGGTAGGTCAACGCAATAAGCTAGAAGCTTAAAATAGTTATGCTAAACTTGATGAGCTGGTCTCCAGTGCTTGCTAAATGAAAGTCATCGCTTAGAGAAATGGAATTCAAAAATTTAACTTAATCATCTGCCTCAAGAAAGGTTTGATGGAAAATATTCACTCCATCTGTTATATAGATAGCATGGCTTGCTATCAACCCCGGATAACGGTAATCAAAAGAAGAAATGCGATTCTCATGACACAGTAAATTGATGTATGCGAGAGCTACACCGATTAAAAATCCCTGGAACGGTTGCAAGCAGCGCATCTGCCAATTATCGAACGAAGCAAGACAAACCATTATCTCATTCAATGGAGGATTCTGTACTAGGTCATAATGAACATCTAGAAACTCATCATCTGTTAGCATTCAGAAATGAAGAGAACGTAAATATTTTTCACCGCAACTGAATCATTCAAAATGATATAGAATGGATGTATTATGTACTTATTCATATAAAAGGACGATGACACATCAGTATGCCCTAGTTTGTTAAAGAAGCTTTTACCTGAGATGAACTGCTATGATCTGATGCGATTCGCAGGCGCTCACCAAGAACTACATCAAGCATCGTGACGACTGTTACTCATTATCCAATTCTTCTTCCTCGCTATATTCAAGTGCGAATGCAAAATTATAAGTGGCGGGGAAAATATCTTGAAAATTATTGCTTTGCGGAGCGCACAAATCTAAATTTGTAATTTCTAAATCTGTAATCGCCTTGACGGCTGAGTTGCTGGCCATGAACGTAAGCAATTAAGTTGATGGAAACAGGGCATGTGCTTCAATCGATTGAAGCGCATTTGGTTTGACTTTACCGACACGCATAGAAATTGTCGATTTATGCCACATATTGCCATTTACGTACCGCTAGCATCTTGTCTCGCATCCCGACCACGTGCTGCTCGTGCTGAGTTTGGTTGTTGTTGCTGGACGTCTGTCGCTTAAAGTCGATTTCCAGGGGGAACGAGTAGCGCTTGACGTCTCCACTGACGACCACGCGTGAATCGTTTTTCAGCACAAGATGGAAGAGCCAGTTGCGATTGAGGGTCAGACCACTCAGAACGCCAAGCAACGGCTTTTTCAAGTGACGCATCATCGCATCGTCTGTGTCTCGTTTTGTCTTTGTATTCTCCAAACGGCCGCCGATCGTTATGCTGCGACTCGACCGCATCAGCTTCACTTCTGCCCATTTCGAAATGGCCGTAACTAACCATAGCAAACATATATAGCCTCACCTTCACATAAACGATGACTGCACGATTTATGCTTTTAGCCAATGTAATAGAGCGCAGGTTCAAAAATCGCCATTTAAACCGATTTCCCAAACAAAAAAGACCCTAACACGTCTTTGGCTCTATCACTACTTTAATTGACAGAAATGCTGATATTGTTCATGTACAAAAGACGACGGTTCATAAGCATTTCTGTGTCTCTAACACAAATAGAACTTTATGGAAAACTACAGCAACAGCGCCTTACGTAATTTAATGAAATCAGTCGTTAAAAGATGCGCTACGTCGTGGGAGGTATGGAAATGGTTAAGAAAAGTTATACAAAAAACAATCCAGGTATTCTGATAGGCAAGTGATAAATCTCGCGGGATCTTTTACATTGATGTAAAAACATCAGTGTTCGATGGTGCAAATTAAGAATTCAGGTCAATGAGCTCGATCGTGACTGAATGCCCTCAAATACTTGCCACTTTTGTCAGGTGTCTACGACATGTCCATTTGTCTTCTTACTAAAATGGTTTTGATCTGCAAGTACTTTCTCAACGTATTCATATTTTTGGCTTTTTTAGTCCACTCTCTCAATTCGTCGTATTTTCAGTTTTTAGGATCAGCCAGAATTCATGCAAGACACCTTTGAAGACATTAGTTGTCTCCAAACGGGTTTTGCTTTAATGAAGTTGGTTATCCAGTAGTAATATGGCGTCAGCCGGCTCAAAAGTAATTTCTAACTTTCTCAATGACCACTGGTTTGTTGATGGTCATTTGCTTGTTCTTTGCGCCCATTAACCCAGATTTGTAGATCCTGCATTTACCACCTGCATGTTTTGCATTCCGCGTATTGAGCCATTTATTAGGCCGAATAACTCAGCGAAAATCATTGCTACGTTGCAGTCAAGGGCAAGTTTAAGATCACTAATAGAGAAGATAATAAACCGAATTGCCTATGAGGAATCAACTGATATGGTGTATAAGTGACCTGCAGTTTGATATACCAGATATCACGGCCATTGTAAGCCAGGGTTGCTGAGCACAAATGCGTCCTGAAACAATATGTGGCATTTTGGCGAAAAGCACTGATAAAGCTGAAAATAACTTCTGAACCGCCCATAATAATGCATCAATACTGTACAATAATAATTTTGCTGAAACAAGATTGTGCTAAAAATAATCCTTACCCAGATCCCGGAAAATATTATTAGCAAGGACCATAGGCTAGAAATGTCAACAAACATTAATCAGTCGATAGAAGGCATTCTTATGTAAAAACGACTTTGAAACGGTGTGAAAGAGCAAAGAACCATTTCGTTTTTACCTGTAGAAAACTGAGAGTGCCAATTAGCACTACGATGAGTCGATTATTGAGGAAAGTTAAAATGAAGCACTGATTTTCAATCAGCATTCATAGATCAATCGCAAAATTTGAAGTTGACAAGTTCTGGTGCCCTAAAGTCTCAGTCACATCAAGTCGAATCAAGCTACGACTGAGTTGTCATGCAGGTCATTGACGACGATGAGAACGTTCATCACATAAGCGGAACTTTCGCAACTTTCCAGTAACGTACAGAAGCAGACGTCAGAGCTTTAAATGATGGAGACTATGAAAAATAACCGATGCACGAAGGAATTTGATAGGAAGCTGACCAAACATTTTGACTAACAAGCCAGAAGATGGAACGTCATCACAGAGACAATAGATTCTACAAAGGTTGAGGGTTTATATAAAAAAACTGTACAGGGATGAAGACAGCAACATCTTTGTGATGATAAAGAACCTGAAGATACAAATATAGTTGATGAAATTCCAGCTCTCTTACCAGAAGTGAGAGATGCAGTAAAAGATATGAAGCAAGAAATGGCTCCTGGCGGAGACGGTGAATCTCGTGGAAAAGGGAGGTGAAGCATTAATTAAGCAATTAGCGAGCTTGTTTTCACAAAGTCTGGGAGACATTGGTGCTTCCTTTCGATTGCACTATTACATCACTAATTCTACTGCTCGAAAATGGAAACAGAGAAGATTTGAAGGAATTTAGGCCGATCAGTTTGTAAATAGTCGTTTAGAAAATCTTCACGGAGGTACTGACGAACATACTTCATGAAAAACTGCAAAGCATACATCCAAAGGAACAAAGGAGGATTCAAAAGCAGATTTAGTACGATGGATCATCTTCCCGCCTTACAGCAAGTAACTGTGATGTGCTGAGAATATCAGCTTTTTGTCTGCCTTGGGGACGTCGATTTTCAGACCTTCGATTTAGTGTACATCTGTTCCATACTGAATTCCCTGACTAGCCGGGGAATCGAGCAACTACAAGCACAATTTATAAAAACGTAACAACGAGTGCAAAGCTTCACCAAGACAGAAACAGTTCAAAGTGAAAGCTTCGAAGTCAGATACACCGACAAAGAATCACCAAGATTACTCGCAGCAGCCCTAGAAGTTGATGCAGCAATCTGGTGTGAAAATCAGGGGCTGAATTATAAATGGGCACTATTATTGGAATCTTGGGCTGGCTGATAACATTGTGATCCTGCCTCTGCTACGATAAGAAATGCAAAGCTCAACGTCATCAGAGTCAAACTGCAACTGAAAAGGAACTTGAGGTAAACTCAGGTCATGTTTAGCAAAAACGTGACCACGAAAACTGTAGAAGTCAGCGGACTTAGACTTGAAGATGTGTAGAACTATGCATATCTGAGACAATTGGTCTGCACTAGGGAGAATCAACTATGCAAAATAAACAGAATAGTAAAAATGGCATGGAGCATTTTGAGAAGATTGGAAATCATCCCCTTCAGGAAGCTACACTTGTGTTTGAAAGGGTTAAATATTCGATGAATGTAATCTCCCAGTGCTAACCTGACGGTTGACAGAGACCACAGGCTTGAAAGCTATTCATAAACTGTAGATTACGGAATGCAGCATGGAAAGATGTGTGCGTGGAACAATAACAAAGATATGAAGACGAATGAACGGATAGGAGCGCAAGCAAGATTCTGGAATATTGCTCGAGTGAAGTAGTCAAAGCGTAAATGGGCAAGACAGACTGCAAGAATAACCGACTATCGGTAGAGCAGAGAAATATTAGACTGAGTTCTAAGAGAAAGCCAAATGCCTGTAGAATCTCTTTCAGATCGATAGCAGGATGAACTGACGCAGTCTATTGGACAAAAATAGGTGAACATGGCAGATAACTGAAGTCCATGGTTAAGTCCAGCAATGGAACGACAAGTATTGAGGATGAATAATTGGGTACTTTCCTGGAATGACCAGCCTCATAATAGAGAATTCGGCTATAAAAATGAGCATTAAGAAAAGTCAATCAATTTTTAAGCATAAAATATAAGTAAATTAGGCGGAACAGGCCAATTAGAAAATGATGGCAATTTCACATCTCTTCCAAAAGAAGTGCTATCGAATCTCTGCTTAATTTATATCTAGATGTGAATAAAAATTCAACCTGTGATATTATGCTAAGACAACGAATAAAGGCTGATACTAATAAGCTGATCATTGTGCATATAAATAATCCTTGAGCCAACTAAAAATGGCAGAGCTACAAAACTGATGGCAAACGGCTGGCGCGTATCAAAAAGTGTGGAAAATACGGAATGTCTGCATTAATGACAATCTGAGCTCTTATGTTAGAGACAGGAGATCCCGGATTACCGGAAGAGAGCTGATGTGGTTTCGATGTTTAAGCAACTTGTTGCACAGCATAAAACAATTTTCATGGTATAAGTATACCGTGCAAAATGACAATGCGCATTGAAAGACCTTGGGGGAACGAATGGACCATTTTCAGAGTAGGCAGGGATGTCTTGAGTATATATTCAGCTGTAAGACACCTTACACTAAAAGTGATTCGTAACCTGGGTTCTTTGCAGATATCTTATAGAAGGCGGTCACAAACATTGAATCCCACATATCCTTATTCAAATATTTGAAAAGACGCGTCAACTCTCAGAGATTTGGTGCGAAATAAAAGGTTTGGAATATTCTTGCACACGGAGTTTTGAGTACGGCAATTAGAAATGGAATTCTCTCTGCTGTTTGCGATGCTTCATGACCGAGTGCTCCAGGAAGAGTGAACAACAACTGCGTCAAGAGAGGGCAACGCCTACACACGCTCATTTGTATTTGAGGATGATGCCTTTTTGCCAAGAATCAGTTTCGAAATTGTAGCATTGCTGTTTCCAACCCTTAAAAATGTATTCCGCCATAAAAACTTCGATTCGATTTAAACAACATACAAAAGTGGATATAAGTTGCCAGAAACCAAGCCCACGCTGCCTTACCCTCTATACAAAAAAAATTACAAAGGCAGCAGAACATCTGCTTTGGCTGCAAAAGAATGAAAGATGAACGATTTTCAGAGGCTACATGCAAACGGAGCTCTGCAGGCGTAAATCGA